AACATTAAAGTGCTGGTCCAGAGCCAAGTTGCCCTATTACCTAAAAGTTTAAACTACAGAGCAAGCTGCTGATGGAAGACATTAGCACTATCCATGTATGGGATTCATGTCACTGCTGTCTTGTGAAAGGCACTGAAGAACAGTTATGCCTATTACTAATGGAACTCCTCCTCCGAAAAAGCACACTAGCCATGCCTTTAGAAGAACATAATATCTTGAGCAGCCAAAGAAACTAGTATTTAACTGTCTAGCTATTATCAACAACACAGGAAAAACTACTGTAAAAATATATTTTTTAAAATTCATAGAATCATAGAATGAATCATAGAATGTCTGGGCTGGAAGGGACCTCCAAAGGTCATCTAGTCCAGCCCCCCCACCACAGGCAGGGACATCTCCAACTAGATCAAGCTACTCAGAGCTTCATCCAGCCTGATCTTGAATGTCTCCAGGGATGGGACCTCCACCACCGGTCTGGGCAACCCATTACAGAGAGCTATTACCCTCATATTGAAGAACTTTTTCCTAATGTCTAACCTAAATCTACCCTTTTCTAGCTTAAAGCCATTACCCTTTCTCCTGTCACGACAAACCCTTGTGAATAGTCCCTCCCCTGCTGTCTTGCAGGCCCCTCTCAGGTACTGGAAAGTCGCTATAAGGTCCCCCCGGAGCCTCCTCTTCTCCAGGCTGGACAACCCCAACTCCCTCAGCCTGTCCTCATAGGAGACCTGCTCCAGCCCTCAGATCATTTTTGTGGCTCATAATCCAGTAATATGACATTGGTCACCTGTTGCACCTTCACAGGCTCAGACCAGGACACAGGCAAAAGACTGCCCTGGGAGCTCCAGTTTACGTACTTCATCACCCTGGCATAAGTAAGATGATCTTCATGTTGTTCTGTTAGAACTCTGTGGTGATTTTGATACAGAAGAGAGTCTTCAAAGCATAGAAGTAAGTATCTTAGTACATCTGATTTGTCTCCAATGAGACTCAATGAGGGCAGTCAGTAACTACTTCTCTGCCAGATGCTCTCAGAATTTACACTATCCCCTTTTCAGCATTCAGAGAGGACCATCAGCAAAACAGACAGGGAGACAGTGTCCCCACATTCCAACCACGTGATAATGATATCCAGCACTCTGTTGTTTTTCCTTGATACCTTCCAACAAATACATACATAATTTTCATAATTCGTATCTTATAGTAATAAGAACATTTGCTCAAAGGAGTGAAAAACATGGATGCAAGCCTTCCACAGCCAGAGGATTTACATCAGGGTGAAGTGACAGCAGCATACTCAGCAGGGGACACTGACAGGGACTAAAAGAGGAGGCACCACTAGTGATGGGTCACTCTGGATATAAGCATGAAGATTTAGGAAGTCAGAAGCACTGGAGAGCAGTAGCACCATCCCATGTCTCACCATGTTTATGAAGGGATGTAGTATTATCTGCTTTATTTTGTGCTGAATTCAATGCTGCCTATGTGAGTGATGCATGGCTACTGGATTAGCCTGTGATCTTAAGGTTAATATATGCCTATTTTGTGGAGCCAATGGTTAGGCATTAAAATGCTCTGCATAGTCAAAACTATGCCAGCCCAGGAAAGCACAGCAGCAGCAACTTATGTGCCTAACAAATCTTAGTAGCAAGAACATGAGAAGTCTCAGGATTCTCAGTCATGCTACAAGTAAAGAAGAATTTTATGGGGATTGTTCACCTGAACCACAGGCTCAAATTCATCCCAGGTGATTTTTTTAATTTTTTTTTTTAATCTGGCTCTATGTTTCTTCCTCTTTTGTAAAAATACTGATAAACAATCTATTTGTCTGTGACTTCCACCCTAGATTACTATAATTCACTATATGAAGTTGAAGCTCAACGTGTGGGTAAAGAAGGGGCTCCAGATGTGACTGCTCATCTTTTTCAATGTTTAAATCATTATAGAATAACAGACCTCCATTTAAGGCTCTCCACAAGCTCCCAAGCAGTTTCTAAAACAGACCAAATAAAGAACTGCGGCATTGTTTATCCTCATGATTTAATAGGTACCCTGTTTCAGTGCATAGGGAGAGTTAAAAGCTTTAGAATTGCAAACTGGACAGCCTAGATGTTGAGAAGCCTAGGATATACTAAGCACAGAGGCCAATCTGAAAGCTCCTCCAGAGTGTAAGGGTCTTCTGGCACCAAAGTCAGCAATCCTTGATGGTAGTTAGGAACAGACTTCTAGAATTCTCAAAGAACTGAGCAGAGCTAGCTCTGCTATTCTACAGCTATTCTATAATCACAGGTTTTTTATTAAGTGCAAAAGTTGTGGTAGCAGTGAAACCATTCTTTTAGCTAAGATGTTGTATTTAGTATACTTAATAAAAGAGGGGACAGTATCAGTCAGTTTCTAACTTGGCCTACAGCTGAAGCCCTCACCACCATCTTCAAGGAAAAAAAACTCTTCTCTGTGGCAGAGAGCTTTTCTTTTCTTGTAATCTTTCTGGTCTCAGGAATTCTGAATTTCATTCTACCCAGTAGCATAACTTCATCCAGATTTACTAGAAAGTGCATTCTTTTTCAGCTCTGTGTATTGCCAAGTAGTTAGATCCATTGATTAGGATTAAAAAAAAAAAAAAAAAAAAAAAAAAAAACAAACCCAAAACATTTAAATCTCCCCAGGCTGAGCAGCAAGCTAATCTCAAATAATTGTTTAGTCCAACATTCAGGCTAATATTTAAAAGGCGGTTTGCATCACAGCTACTTCTTTTTTGTTTTATTTTTTTTCCAAGGGATGACTTCACTTTCATTCTTTGAGAAGCTCAGTCTTGCTTATGTTGGTTAAACATCCTCACAGGATCTTGGGTGGAAGAAAATTCATCAGGCCCTACATGAGAACTGCATACTTCAGCTCAAAAGAATTCTGTGCTTGCACAGAATCAAACTAAAGAGGCACTTTTATTGTTAAACTGGAAAGTATTACAGTGTAGTTAGTCTTTACTCCTTACTTTCAGGAGTAAATGGCACCTCAGTTAGGGAGTCTTTAGGGTGTCAATTCTGGCACCTTATTTAGACTTAACTACTAATTATTAGACTAACTTCAGCCTAAGTACTGCTGCAGATTCCTCAGTTCTTCAGTGGATCTAATCCATTACAGAATTTTTAAATCTGTGAATGGTTCAAGAGCTGGTTTTATTGTAGTTTTGATGTATGAGTCATAGTGTCTGCTAAATAACAAAGCCTCAGCTGAAACATGGGAAAATGAGGACAGAGGATTTTCTGTGGTGAGCCAGCTATGTATCCAGAGCAGGTCAAGCACACAAAGGTGTTCATATATTTAGGAGTACTTGAAAGTCTACTTACTAGATACTGCAGGAAAGGATGCAATTGAGTATTTTCGATTGATAGGCAAAATATTTCCTGCCTCACCTGAACACATTTCTTTGCTTATTCTTTGACTCTTAGACATGAGAAGAGTGAAACAATGTAGTTTATATTAGTTTTTACTATCATTATGGCCTAAACAGAATAGAGGTTTTATAGTAAATTCATAGCTTTGAGTTACCTGGCATGCAAAGCTTGATTTTCTTAAGCTATGCCAATTCTAAACTACAATACTGGCTAAAAGATCTCAGAAAAAGGGCTCTTTTGAATTTCAAAGGCAAACTGAGACTCAACTGTAACTTGGCAGAGTTGAGTTCCAGACAAAAGTGATTCAGCCTTTTTCTTCTTTACATGTAATTTTTCTTTCATCTTACCTTTTCCCAACCTTTCATATTTTAGAACAAAACTGAGAATATGGAGAAAGATCATAGTCCAGAGTTTCAGATTTTCATGTTAACAGGCTATGTTCAGAAAAAAATATAGATCAAGGTTAAGTACACAGAGAATTACAGAAGGATCCTGCAGAATAAACCAATAACAGTACTGACGTTTTAGACTGAAAAAAATGATGATAAATTAATGGCACATTTGAAAAGTTTATAAAAAGGATAAGGCTCTTTGAATTTTTCCATTATTGATCTGAAAATGAGAACACAGTTCACTGGCATCTTGCTGTACTAAGACATTTAGGAACAGTATTACTGTCAGTAGAGCACAGAGAAAAATTATGTCTAACTTTTCATGTAAGCTAGTCCAGCAGAATATTATTATCCTCAAAAAGTCATTACTTATAAGCCAGAATGCCAATTCATAGACTACAGAATTAAAAATCTAATTGTTTCATGGGTCCCTGGACAAAAAGATAGCCCCTTCTACCCTACTACTACCCTGAATGATGGTTGTAAACCTTGCCAATTTTTAATTGTGTCACATAATTAGGTTTTAATACAGTTGATGAAAAAAAGCAACTACAAAAAATTTAACATATGTAACAAATAAGGAAATTTGCATTAGCTTTGGAGGATCTGGCAGGCTGCCATTCACCACAAAGTCTTGGAACAAGATAAAGTCATCCATAGCTTAACAGATGTTAAACAAAACAAAAATTAAAAAGTGCTATTGCTAAAAACTTCTTACAGTGAATTCAGATTTCACTCTGTGTTCATAACACAACTGACTTGACAAAAGAAAAGTAAATCAGATAAATAAAACACAGAATAGAGTGGCCATACACATTGTGGGATCTCAAAAACTACTGCAAATATTTGTACTATTCTAAAAGTCATCTTGATTAAAAATTAACTATGTATTTGCTGCTTCTATCCAGTTTTCCTGGGAAAAATCTAAAATTTAATTTAAAACATGGTAAAGTGACCTGGGTTTTAGACATTTTTGTTATCTGTATAAGTACCAAGCACAGAGTTCTGTACTACAGTAATTTACTTTTTACTTACAGGTCAGACAATTCTTCACAAGACAGTACAGTACAATAACTCTTCCCATAATAAAATGTTTTATATGGGTACTATTTTGATTATCTTCCAAAATGGTCTTCTGAGATTTCTTTTCTTGACATAAATGTCCTCGGTCAAGGTAGATGACAAATCAAATTAAGCAGCAAAAAAAATCCATTTAATTGATAGTTCCAGTATTGAAGGAAGCTTGTGCAACTTTTGAGTTTGTTGTCTTGTTCAAAGCTGTACAGATGAAGTTTCCAGCTTCCATCACTTTATAAAGATTTACTCCCTAAAAAAGAGGTGAAAAATATTAAGAATAATAAATGCACATGTTGAAAATGCTTAAAGTCCAATTTTTTTTTTTTTTTGCCTCATGGTCTAATTCCTGCAAAGGACCTAACTCATGTCATAGGTCAATAACAAAGATCAGTAGAGTTACAGTGACTTACACAACAGTCACAGCTTCCAGTTGTTTGGAATTGACTCCAAACACTTTGACAGTGATTCAACAGCAGTGGACCAAATACTTAACTAGTATCTTTCAAACTTAAAAGAATCTGGAATAACAACTAGAAGAAGTTGGAAGAAAAATACAGTGTCTACATATGTGTTGTACTTATTTATCACCCAATGATAATAAACTTCATGCTTACAATTATCTGATTTGCAGCTCAGGAAAATGGAGGAAACAGTATTGGCAACTGAGTTCTGTTCTTTCCTTCTTGAAAAAGTTCCTTCCAATGCAAAATTACAATTTACATTGCTAAAAATTGCAGCTGCATGATATGCCCTTGCTAATAAAAAGTTCCTTAAACAACCAACTGTTTTTTAACTAACATAAGATACCAGTACTGCTTGATTGTTAAAATGGAATCAGATCCCTGATTAAAAGGAAAAAAAAATACTTCATTACTAGTGTCCTGGATTACTCACATACAGTAAAAGTTTAAAGCTTGTGTAAGTGATGTAAGTACTTGCTCCAAAGATTGGAATTTAGAAGCCAGCAAAGTTCCTGTAGAAAGGCTGCAAAAGGGAACTTTGAACTATCTGAACTATACTGAGCAGTCACATAAGCCTGGGAGAAGTGTGCCCCCCAACATTATCGAGTTGCAGCGGAACTTTAATACATTAGAGACATATTGCACCAGAAAGACACTTATGGATTTATGCATTAACATTGAGATCAGGACCTGATTTAGATGCTTAATCCTTTAATTGGATCTAGCACTTATTTCCATGTTCTACAGTAAACTTTGCCTTCTTCATTCTTGGCACTGGCTAAAAATGTTAATGAGAATAGAAATTACTTCACGGAAATGTAATAAAAAACATTTCTCAGTTGAAAAAAAAATGCTTCCAAGTTTCCAATCAGCTCTAGTATTTAGCACCATCTAAAACATTGTTCAAAGACATTCTTTTATAACTGTCTCATGTTAATACCATTAAAACAAGGGTTATTTCTGCTTATTCTGTTTATCCTTTATTGGTCATTACTTAGGTTTAGTTTGTAGAGTGCTATTGCACATAACATAATCTGAAAAATTCTTGGAGCATCTGTGCTTTTTTGCCAAGAAGAAATGAGAAACATACCACCTTAGACATACTTGGTAGTTATATTTTGGAAGATGGCAAAATAAAACCCCCAAACTGTATAAAATCCACATTTTCAGTGTTGTAACACTGAATAATGTGATATGTGTTGATAAGAAACATATGTTCACAGTTCACACTCATTAATGGAATATGAGCATCTCTGTCTTTTACATTGCATTTCTTATGTAAGTGTTGTGAACCAAAGAGGATTACCACGAGGGCACAAACCCCAGCATTCATAAGCATGACTCTCAGATGGGGATGGGAAAAGAATAGTGACAGGTTTGTAAGGTTGTTGAGTAAAAATAATACGTCTTCAAAGAGATACTCAGAAATGTACTCAAGGGTACTTCATAACCCCTCCATATATGCAGAATTATTCCTTTACACCAAAGAATGAAACTGTGAAACACAAAGACACACACCTTTTCAATGCCATCTATGAAATTGTCTAAGTGCCTGAAGACAGAAAAGCTTCTGCCAGAATGCGAAGTCCTTTAACTCCCATTGACTTCAATTAATCAGTTCTCATTCAGTATTCATAAACACCAAGTCTATTATCTCTCTGAGCTTCTGTTTCAGTGTCAGTACTGCTGAGCTAACAGTACTTAGCTGCTTCTCAGAAAGGCTTATTGTTTGCCAAGCACTTTGCAGACAACATAAGCACAAATACTACGACTGTAATCATACGACTTGTTTTTATAGAAAGTACATTTCTCCCTATGACGTTTCATAAGCATTAAAGATCTATGACATAATTATCTATCCATTAGCACAGTACAACCAATAAATTTCTTTGTCGCTGAGCTCTGCTAGAAAAACACTTCACATTTAGCCTGTTAAGAGATTCATTTCACATGTCACTTCTTGGTTATGTGTTCTGAAGAACCGTATAGAACAAGCATCAATTATTATTTTGATGTATCTAGTCAATCTGAACTCAGTAATGTACACTTAAATACTGTCAATCCTTTGGTTGACACTTTAAGTGACTTCAGTCAACAAAATGAACGCTTTAGTGCATAGCTAAGAGGAACATGAGAAAGCACTCCTTGCAAATGGACAGCATTAGTAATTATAATTTCATTTTGTGCCATTATACAAAAAGGGACATATTATTAGACTTTTGCAGCAATGATTTTACAGAATTGGTCATGGTACCCAAACCAACCAGCACTGAAGAGACTAAAGTTCATATATTAAGAAAAAAATTTTGAGCCTCCATGTCTCTCATCCAGTAAACCACTCTTTTCTTAATGGGCCAGAAAAAGATCAAGGAGCAAAGCCTTGTGTTTTGCTATTGCATAATTTTTTTTTTTTTAAGGGAATACTGAATGTTTGATAGTAAGATCCTTACATCTATGTGGCCAAATTGTTTAGAACAAGACAGATGCCTGTGTGGATGCCAGATCACATTGACATATTAATAGATCTTATCAATAATCATTTAACCAAGGTATTTTTATTTGATTCCTTTTGCCATGAGACAGTTGGAGAAGTTAATGGGTATTACGCCCAAGGAAAGACTATACAGAAAGCCTAAGTCTAAGTTGCACAGCAATGTAAAGTGAAATGTATGATTTCTCCTCCTTATTCCAAGGAACTGTGTTGTTTCAAAAGAATAAATACCTTTTCCATGAAAAGAGCTACTGCAAAGCACGTATGAACAGTTCAAACCAGAGCCCATTTGTACAATGGACACTTGTGACTAAATGTGTTCTAAACAGGTATCTGACATCTACCCGGAATGCCTTCAAAAGCACATGAAAGCAGATAAACATTACTACGAACTCTGTAAGGTACTGACTATGCTTTAACAGTGCCAAGGGAATGTACAACTCAGAAACAAGTTCTAAGGAACTTTGTCTGCATGTATGCCACATTGAACTGTAACCTATAGACAAGTGATAAGCCACACAGAAGTCAGATTTTTACGTCTCGGACATCAGGCTCTTCAATTTCTTCCTGCAGTAATTTAAATACAAACCACACACGCTGCAGTTTTGGCAGCTCTTTTATGTGTTCTCCTTTGAACTTCACTCTGAAAGTCCCTGTCTAAGTTAAAGGTAAAATCATTGTCTTGCTCGAGTTGTACAAACTCATTATGCCACATTTCCAGCACAATGACTACCAACAGGAAGATCAAAGAGCACATTCTTTGGAGAAGGCAGCATGACTTGGTTTGCAGGAATACAGAATAATTAATATGTCAACCAAGCCAGGGATACTAAATTTGGGCTCTTGAAGTGTGGATGCTCACTGGTAAGGTTCATTAAAGTGCAGCTCAGTGTAGATAAGCTGCTTTGCTCTCTCCTCCAGGAACAGGGCTGGAAATAAAAATTACTGTGAAGCCTGCTAGCCAGTAACAGATTTTGTACAGTTTTGAAATTTATTAAATGGGCACCTAAGAAATAGTAATGTCCTGTGCCTGCACTCCAAATTCCAGATTTTTTTTCTACTTTAAAGCCAGAAAAATTGACAAGTAATTAATAAGCACTATGAACCAAATCCAAAGCTCTGTGAAAAAAAGCTGAAGTCCATTCAATTTTTCCACTCAGGAGCTTATCAGCCTTCTGAGGCAATGTCTGCAGTAGTGATTTTTTTGTGGTTACTGACAGAGCAATGACTCAAAGCAATTGCTACTGAGCTCCTCATGGCTCCAGGTAGGGAGAGGGGGTTATTCAAATTCCTGTCAAATATGCAAACCAGTTCAACTCCAAATTGCTAGGGAAGTCATCATCATTCTTCTTATTTGTCAAGCCACGTTAAAGCACTGAGTTTGCAAAAACTGCTGTTTGCTCCCAATATTTTACCATACAGCAGAAGTAACTGTCAGGTATGTATTGTATGTTTTCTAGAAAAATACCTTTGTTTTCCTTAAAGTTCTAAGTAGAAAGTAAAAATATCTTACTGTATTGATCCCAAGACCGTTAAGCATGTATATCACATCCTCTGTGGCTACGTTTCCAGTAGCACCTTTTGCATAGGGACAACCACCCAGTCCTGCAACAGACGAATCCACTACAGCAACTCCCATCTGGAAGAAAACAACACAAAAATGCAGCACTGGCACAGAGTATTATTTATAATCATTCATAAATAGCACACTATACATAAAACACATTTCTCCACAGATGGATGTGTTCTTCAGAGGAAATTCCTTATAATGACCTTAGTCCTGACACCTTTATAAAGTGAGACTCTTCACATGTAGGATGTGCAACAGAGAACTAATGGTCCTGTGAACCATTAATAACTGATGGTCCTGTGAACCATAATGAACCTGTGATTTTGGCAGATAAGATGATTGTTGCTTTAGATACAGAGTTTTACATCTTTTCTCTCTTTATGCCTCTACACATTATATTTAAGTATCTGTACTTAAGATGTATTCTCCCTCAATTCCTGCAAAGGCTTACATGCAACCAAATACAAACACAGTATTTATTCATGTGTAATTTTAAGCATCTGTATAAGTCTTTGCAAGTTGGAAGTCTTCATATTAGCATCTGATACATGGGTCTTCCAAAAGATTTTGGGCCATTTTCCCCCTAATATGTATTTTATATTACTATCTATTCTTCCAAAAAGAACTACCCTCTTAGCATTTTTTTCTTCTCTTTTTATTTTTGTCTTTATTAGAGACTATGAAATCATCTTGTAAATAATTTTTTGTTCTTGTAGAAGACTACAAGGTATTTTCACCCTGTGTCAGTTTTGGCTAAGTTTTTTTCATAGTAGCTGGTATGGGGCTATGGTTGGGATTTGTGCTGACAACAGTGTTGGTAACTGAGGGATGTTTTAGTTATTGCTGAGCAGTGCTTACACAGAGTCAAGGCCCTCTCTGCTTATCACATCACCCCACTAGCAAGTAGGCTGAAGGTGCACAAGAATTTGGGAAGGAACACAGTTGGCACAGCTGACCTCAACGGACCAAAGCAATATTTCATACCATATGACATCATACTTATCATATAAATCTGGGGGAAGAAGGAGGGGAAGTTCAGAGTGATGGTGTTTGTCTTCCCAAGTAACCATTATGCACAATTGAACATCAGGTTTGTAACTTTTATTTTCTTCCTATTGCATCCAAGCTCCTTCCCTCTCCTGATCCTCTCTTTGCGTATTCATGATAAAGAATCGTAAACTAGTTATCAACTCTGCCCAACAGATAATATTAAATTTCCTAAGGGATAAAGCCTTCCCTGGGAGATTGGTCAAGGAGGGCAAGGAATTGAACCTATGATTTCCACTGACTTGTTTAGTGATCTCTTGCATACTCTTCTTTCTGTGATTAGGTTTTAAAATAAAGCTGAAACTGGAAAACTCTTTTTTTTTCTTCCTGTTTTAACATTAGGTATATGATCCAGGACACTGGTTCTCCCTTGATAGAGAAAGCTCTTCAGACTTCCTCTAGAAGAAGATGAGATGCCTCTGGAGGCATTCAGACTCTAATCAGAGGCAAGCAGTGATATTAGACAGAGAGACAGAGCAAAAGGTCTCTTAGATGTGAGAAACAACATACTTCCAGCATTAAAAGGGTGTGTCTTCTAAATGCATTGTGTGTATATATATATATAAATTTCTTTACGCTTGTATAAACACTTGTGATGCCACCACAATCTGCATTTGCAGTGCAAGTTGTGTAACACTGGCATAAATTTTGCTTATTTTTTTTTGCCAAAAGTGTTTGTGAATACCTGGAGGTGTATGGGATACCTCAGCAATGTGAAGGTAACATGAAATGCATGTCTTTGTGTAACACATCCTATATTCTCAGGCAGCCTTGTTTGAGTTAATTCAAATTGCTTCCAGTAGAAGCTGGAGTACGCTCAGTTAATTTAGCCTAATGTAGATGCAAGAGAATAAAATTTGATGCCTTCCACTGGCTAAGCAGTGGGAGTAGTAACCTCCAGATGATGGATGGTGATAATTGCTCTGTCTGCTTAACCATCAATGATTATGACTAAACTGAACGGAGAAAGTCTGGGTACAGCTTTACACTGGTAACATCCTTGGCACAGCAGCTTTCATTTCAGGACACTTAAACCATTACTTCCCAGAAGCAATGTAACAAGTTTGTCTTTATAATGTTATTAACATCAGGATGGATTTGCCATTTTAACATTCAGCCGGTTGTAGACAAGGTCTCGACACGGTGTATACAGCACAGCTCTTCTGACTGACCTCCAACTCTGACATGTCTTCAAATCAGTGCTCCTAACATGCAATGAGTGGGTGTCCCCACCTTTAAGATCCTGTTCTTTAAAGTTCTCTCCACAAGACTTCTGACAGATGTCTGCTGCAACATATTGCTGTGTCAGCAGCGGGCTCAGCTGCTCCCTCTGCTCTCTCATGTGGTACGGGCAAACAGAACGTGTTTGTGGAGTCCCGTGCAGAACCACTACAGCCCATCGCCAGTGTGGCCTCATTCAAAAAGCCCTTAAATAATCCACACTCCAAGCTCCATTCTAACAGTGATAAAAACAGATGTTGGAAAATATCCTTCAGCAGCACTAATAACTAATTTGGGGGTTAATATTACAGCCCAGCCTGCCTAAGCACAGAGTCTGAAATAGCACCTAATAAATAACTTCTCTGCAAGTTTGAGCAGCTATGAAGCTGTTTCACTTTTGTTAGCCATTAAAAGCGTAAGAGGCTCTAAAAGAGAAGCTAAAATTTGACCTAATGTGTAAAACAAGGCCTCTTTCTTCATCACATGTCCAATATTTGTCAGCCTTTTACAGGAGATAATGAGTTTCAAGCCTTTCAGCAATCTGAGCTTGCAAAACATTCACAGTCAATACGAGATTTTTAAAAAGCCCACAATCTCTTTGTCACTTCCTGACAGGCACTAAATTGTGCTGAGATTCCTGAGAAGTTGCACGGCGGCTATTTCGTATGATATGTCCTAGATGAGCACTCACTTATGGATGGATGTATGGATGGATGTGTAGGGGGCTGAACAATGGCTTGGATTCCAGGACAACTTAAGTGCTCCAATCTTTTTTTGACACTTGCGGAGTTTTGATAATCATGAAATTCCTGACAGTGGTTCCTGAATACCTTCCAAACTTTAGCTTTGGCTAGCCTCAGATTACTCTCTAGAGAAGGCAGAAGACTTTTTGCTTTTGTCCCATGCTAACTTCCTAATTCCCCATTGAGAGAGCAAAGAATTAAATTCATCACCTTTGTCAAATAGCCAGTTTTAACAGGAAACCATTATTGCCAGTGAATAATAAATGCTTCATGTTTCTCAGTTTGCTTTACTACCTCCCCATAACTTCTTGTTGGGACAGTCAGTCTCCTTCCTCACTGATCTTTAAACCTGGCTTCATCTGACGGAAGTTTAATTTTGTCCCTCTCTTAAAAACGGCAAGGTCAGCATCCAGTAACTCCAGGGGTGCATGAGATATAAATCAGAAGCTATAAACCAGGTCACTCATAAATTAGGATTTTTTTTTTTTAAACTCTGAGATTTTGGAATCATAATATTGAGGCTCCCTGGTATGCATTAAACAGGAAAATATTTGTTGTGCCACAAAGTTTAGGGTCTTAGGAAGACCTACACATGGTAAGTCAAAGGCTGTCCACACAAAAGGCAGCACAAGACTAACACTGTTTAATCCTGCAGCCCTGTCAGTGCCTAGCTGGCACTCTTGGCATGGTGTGGTATTGTCATACTATTGTGTCTCTTCTGGCATCAGTCTGCTTCCCAACATTGGTACATCATCAGGAAAAACACCTTCTCCTGTAGAGACAGCCACAGATATATAAATAACTATGCCACCAACGCTTTCTAGGGTGTCTGTACCCACAGAGACACCTCCATGAGTTACATTGTCAGGTTGTCTAAAATCAAGGCTTGCCTTCCTCCTTTATTTCAATAAGTCAAATGTATGTAAATAAATATTGGTTTAGTATTTGAGCAATTAGAAGCATAAATTTCTACATATAAGGCAATAAAATGGGACATCATGTCTCTGTGGAAAACCCTGAAAGTTAACTGCATTTCCTTCATGCTTCTTTTTATCTCCATTCTTGCTAAAGATTAATGCATCACAAAAGAAAACACGGCTTTTCCGAGTTAACGCCATCACTGCTGACCACAGGGTGTCACTGTTACACTAAAATCTACATTTTCCCAGTTCAGCTAGAAAATTAATTCATGCAGTGAAAAAAAAAAAATTAAAAAAACCCATATTGAGATACAAGCAATTTGTGGGCAGACATGCTGCATAAAATAGGTTAATACAGCATATACAACGTTCCTTTAACTTAGTGAACACATCTTTTCATATTGCTACTGACACATTTATTATAAGCAAAGCTGGCAATGACATCTAGAGTTAAAGTTCCCTAACACTTTCCATCATAAGGCCCTACTTCCAGTTGTTTATTACTTTGTCAGTCTTCGACTGCTGGAGCTTATATTTTCCATGCCTTGTCTCTGCCTCAGGCTGGATTATTTTGGAAAGTTTTAGTGAAAAATGGGGTTGGCCACTTCCGAGAACAAGGTTTTCGGAAGAAAAATGCTTTGTTATGCTAATATTCAATAATTCTAACACAAGCTTCTTGGGGATATTCTTGTAGCTTTGCACTCTTAAATTTGGTGCAGGAGGAATACTGACTTTAAGAGATCACTTGGTCTGGACTTCATTATGAGCTTAGGAAAGTTCCACCTCATTGTCAGAAACTGGTCAGTCTGCTTAGCTAAAATGCCTGAGGGTCAAGAGAGCAGCAGCCGACCATTCTTCTTCCCTCAACCTCAACAAAAAAAAAAAAGAAGTTTCTCTGAAACTGAGCTGGAAAGCCTCTGCCTCTGGCTGACAGTACATGACCTGCACAGAAGGCCTCTCGCTAGCAGGCTTGAACAGCTGAGATCTGTGTTGCCCATCCAGCTTTTCAGCAAATGTTGATGGATATTCAGGCAAAATCAACGACATTAAACATGAGACTGGTCTTGAGATTTTGAAAAGCTTACAATGTCCTAATAAAAATCCTACACCATAACAAAATTAATATTGGGAAGCAGGT